TATTTTGAGGAATTGTTAAATGTTGATGAAGATAGGGAAGCTGTGATTTCGTGTATAGGGCAAGGAGGAATAACATCTTGTAGGAGTGAGGAAGAGCCAGTTGTGAGTGTGGGGGAAGTTCGTGAGGCAGTAGGTAAAATGAAAGGGGGTAAGGCAGCCGGGATTGATGGGATAAAGATAGAAATGTTAAAAGCAGGTGGGGATATAGTTTTGGAGTGGTTGGTGCAATTATTTAATAAATGTATGGAAGAGGGTAAGGTACCTAGGGATTGGCAGAGAGCATGCATAGTTCCTTTGTATAAAGGCAAAGGGGTCAAAAAAGAGTGCAAAAATTATAGGGGGAGAAGTCTGTTGAGTATACCTGATAAAGTGCATGGTAGAGTTATTATTGAAAGAATTAAGAGTAAGACGGAGAATAGGATAGTAGATGAACAAGGAGGCTTTAGGAAAGGTAGGGGGTGTGTTGACCAGGTGTTTACAGTGAAACATATAAGTGAACAGTATTTAGATAAGGCTAAAGAGATCTTTGTGGCATTTATGGATTTGGAAAAGGCATATGACAGGGTGGATAAGGGGGCAATGTGGCAGATGTTGCAGGTGTATAGTATAGGAGGTAGGTTACTGAAAGCAGTGAAGAGTTTTTACGAGGATAGTGAGGCTCAAGTTAGAGTATGTAGGAAAGAGGGAAATTATTTCCCAGTAAAAGTAGGCCTTAGACAAGGATGTCTGATGTCACCGTGGTTGTTTAATATATTTATAGATGGGGTTGTAAGAGAAGTAAATGTGAGGGTCTTGGCAAGAGGTGTGGAGTTAAAAGATAAAGAATCACACAAAGTGGGAATTGTCACAGTTGCTCTTTGCTGATGACACTGTGCTCTTGGAAGATTCTGAAGAGAAGTTGCAGAGACTGGTGGATGAATTTGGTAGGGTATGCAAAAGAAGAAAATTAAAAGTGAATACAGGAAAGAGTAAGGTTATGAGGATAACAAAAAGATTAGGTGATGAAAGATTGGATATCAGATTGGAAGGAGAGAGTATGGAGGAGGTGAATGTATTCAGATATTTGGGAGTGGACGTGTCAGCGGATGGGTCTATGAAAGATGAGGTGAATCATAGAATTGATGAGGGGAAAAGGGTGAGTGGTGCACTTAGGAGTCTGTGGAGACAAAGAACTTTGTCCTTGGAGGCAAAGAGGGGAATGTATGAGAGTATAGTTTTACCAACGCTCTTATATGGGTGTGAAGCATGGGTGATGAATGTTGCAGCGAGGAGAAGGCTGGAGGCAGTGGAGATGTCATGTCTGAGGGCAATGTGTGGTTTGAATATAATGCAGAGAATTCGAAGTTTGGAAGTTAGGAGGAGGTGCGGGATTACCAAAACTGTTGTCCAGAGGGCTGAGGAAGGGTTGTTGAGGTGGTTCGGACATGTAGAGAGAATGAAGCGAAACAGAATGACTTCAAGAGTGTATCAGTCTGTAGTGGAAGGAAGGCGGGGTAGGGGTCAGCCTAGGAAATGTTGGAGGGAGGGGGTAAAGGAGGTTTTGTGTGCGAGGGGCTTGGACTTCCAGCAGGCATGCGTGAGCGTGTTTGATAGGAGTGAATGGAGACAAATGGTTTTTAATACTTGACGTGCTGTTGGAGTGTGAGCAAAGTAACATTTATGAAGGGGTTCAGGGAAACCGGCAGGCCTGACTTGAGTCCTGGAGATGGGAAGTACAGTGCCTCCACTCTGAAGGAGGGGTGTTAATGTTGCAGTTTAAAAACTGTAGTGTAAAGCACCCTTCTGGCAAGACAGTGATGGAGTGAATGATGGTGAAAGTTTTTCTTTTTCGGGCCACCCTGCCTTGGTGGGAATCGGCCAGTGTGATAATAAAAAAAAAAAAAAATCTGTAGGGAAAGGAAGGAGGGATAGGGGTAGTCCTCGAAAAGGTTGGAAGGAAGGGGTAAAGGAGGTTTTGTGGGCGAGGGGCTTGGACTTCCAACAAGCATGTGTGAGCGTGTTAGATAGGAGGAAATGGAGACTAATGGTTTTTGGGACTTGACAAGCTGTTGCAGTGTGAGCAGGGTAATATTTAGTGAAGGGATTCAGGGAAACCAGTTATTATAGATTTAGCCAGACTTGAGTCCTGGAAATGGGAAGTACAATGCCTGCACTTTAAAGGTGGGGTCTGGGATATTGACATTTTGGAGGGACTTCTAAACTGTTGTATCTGAGTGCCTCTGCAAAGACGGTTATGTCTGAGTCAGGTAAAAGTGTTGAATGATGATGAAAGTACTTTCTTTTTGAGGATTTGCTTTCTTTCTGGGTCACCCTGCCTCAGTGGGAGACGGCCAACTTGTTGAAAAAAAAAATGCAGTTTCTGCATAACAGTAAATCTTCTATTTTTTGTGTGAATAAAAATTCAAAATGGAAAGTAAGCGTAATATAGGCATGGCCTAAGGACATGACTAATGAACACAGGAAATGTTTTAGTGCCAGAAATGTCCAGATTGTTTATTCTGAACCCTATTTTGGAATTGGCAATTTTTTAATTGTGTGAAATTGGCCAAATTACTAATTTCTGATCACTTTATTGGGTAGTTGAAATAAGTAAATGGGTGGTTTCTTGTACTCAATCGACAGAAGGATTACCAGCGAAACAGCTATGAGTTTGGTTGACTGGAACAATTTAACAGGTCGAAAATAGAGCTGAATGGGATATTCTGCTAATGTTTTGCATCCTCTGCTTGTTTGTTCTATGGAATGGTCTGCCAGCATTTTATATGCTGTATTTGTTGTTAGGTCTGAGTTTTCAAATATAAGCAATTGCAATTGAGAGAGAAACAATGGAACATTAAAGTATATAATATTCATAACATGATGGGATAAAGATAGAAATGTTAAAAGCAGGTGGGGATATAGTTTTGGAGTGGTTGGTGCAATTATTTAATAAATGTATGGAAGAAGGTAAGGTACCTAGGGATTGGCAGAGAGCATGCATAGTTCCTTTGTATAAAGGCAAAGGGGATAAAAGAGAGTGCAAAAATTATAGGGGGATAAGTCTGTTGAGTGTACCTGGTAAAGTGTATGGTAGAGTTATAATTGAAAGAATTAAGAGTAAGACGGAGAATAGGATAGCAGATGAACAAGGAGGCTTTAGGAAGGTAGGGGGTGTGGGGACCAGGTGTTTACAGTGAAACATATAAGTGAACAGTATTTAGATAAGGCTAAGAGGTCTTTGTGGCATTTATGGATTTGGAAAAGGCGTATGACAGGGTGGATAGGGGGGCATGTGGCAGATGTTGCAGTGTATGGTGTAGGAGGTAGGTTACTGAAAGCAGTTGAAGAGTTTTTACGAGGATAGTGAGGCTCAAGTTAGGAGTATGTAGGAAAGAGGGAAATTTTTTCCAGTAAAAAGTAGGCCTTAGACAAGGATGTGTGATGTCACCGTGGTTGTTTAATATATTTATAGGGGGTGTAAGAGAAGTAAATGCGAGGGTCTTGGCAAGAGGCGTGGAGTTAAAAGATAAAGAATCACACCAAAGTGGGACGTTGTCACAGCTGCTCTTTGCTGATGACACTGTGCTCTTGGGAGTTCTGAAGGGGAAAGAGTTGCAGAGATTGGTGGATGAATTGGGTTAGGGTGTGCAAAAGAAGGAAATTAAAGGTGATCAGGAAAGGGGTTAAGGTTATGAGGATAACAAAAAGATTAGGTGAGGAAAGATTGAATATCAGATTGGAGGGAGAGAGTATGGAGGAGGTGAACGTATTCGATATTTGGGAGTGGACGTGTCAGCAGATGGGTCTATGAAGATGAGGTGAATCTATAGAATTGTTTGAGGGAAAAAGAGTGAGTGGTGCAACTTAGGAGTCTGTGGAGACAAAGAAACTTTGTCCTTGGAGGTAAAGAGGGGAATGTATGAAGTTTAGAGGTTTTACCAAACGCTTTATATGGGTGTTGAAGGAGGGTGATGAATGTGCAGGAGTGAGAGGTGAGGCATGAGATGTCTGTTTGAGGCAATGTGTGGTGTGAATTCATGCAGGGAATTCGTCAGTTTGAAGTTAGGAAGGAGGTTGCGGGATACCAAAATGTTGTCAGAGGGCTGTGGAAGGGTAGTTGAGGATGGTTCGGACAGTAATGAGATGGCGAAACAGAATGACATTCAAGAGTGTAATCAGTTTGTAGTGGAAGGCAGGATGTGGTAGGGGTCGGCCTAGGAAGTTGGAGGTATTTGTGTAAAAGGGTTTTGATTTGTGCGAGGCTTGGACTTCCAGCAGGCTGCTGTGAGCGTGTTGAATGGAGTGTTGGCAGACAAATGAAGGGATTCAGGGAAACCGGAGCGGACTTGGTCCTGGGATGGGAAGTACTAGGCTGCACTATGAAGGAGGGAAGGGTTAATTTGCTGTTTAAATACTGTGTGTTACAGACCGTTCTGGCAAGCATTGATGGAGTGAATGCTGTGAAAGTTTTTTTTTGGAGCTACCCTGCTTGGTGGGAATCGGCCGGTGTGATAATAAAATAAAAATAAAAATAAATTCATAACATTTTATCAAACTCAAACTTACCAATAACAGTATAGCCTTCACACATATCCGAGATGATGATTAAGATATGTGCAACAGTTGGGAGTCTTTATCGTTGAAACATTTTTGCCTACACAGAAGGCTTCTTCAGTCAAATACAGAGCCAGCAGGTGTAGTAGTGAAATAATAATGATGTAATCAGTCCATCAACCTGAACTTTTCTCCAGGATGAGAGATGGACCACCTCTCCAAGGCAAATGGAGTGATTAAATCATCTTTATTTTGCTACTACACCTGCTGAATCTGTATTTGACCAAAGAAGTCTACTGTGTAGGTGAAACATTTCAACAATAAAGATATCTAACTGTTACATATGTGTTTTAATCATCAACTTGTCAGTATTTTATACCGTTTTCAACACATCTGAGTTAAACAAAGTAAAGGATATATAGTAAATGAACTTTCCTTACAAACATTTAAGCTACATTTCAACTTACACTAAAATGGGCTAAAACTTCTTCTTTGTCTTCTCGCTCAAATCCTGAAGCATTTATCTTGGTGGTTCGTCGGTCCACAGATGCAAAAGAGTGACCATATCCTCGAGAACCTCTGCCGCGACCTCGGGACCCACCACGTCCTAAGTTACCAGCTCCACGTCCACGACCATAGTGACCACCCCTATACATACCAACATTTACATAGTTAAAAACATATCAATAACTTCATTCACTAAGAAATAACACACATATTAATTTTTTCTTTTCTTCAACAAACCAGTCATCTCTCAACTGCAAGTATCTTCAGCCCTCCTTCAGAGTGCACGCATTGTACTTTCCACCTCCAGGACTCAAGTCTGGCTAACTGGTTCCCCTTTTTCACTTCATGAGTGTTACTTTCCTTACACTCCAACAGCAAATCAAGTCGGTAGATAAGACACATTGGCAACATTTAGGCAACTTTATTCCGAAACGTTTCGCCTACACAGTAGGCTTCTTCAGTCGAGTACAGAAGGTAGGCAGGAGCAGTAGAGATGTGAAGATGATGTAATCAGTCCATCACCCTTGAAGTCGTAGATTTGAGGTTGTCAGTCCCTCAGCCTGGAGAAGTTCTGTTCCAATGTCTGGAACTAACTGGACTTTGCAACAGAACTTCTCCAGGCTGAGGGACTGACAACCTCAAATCTACAACTTCAAGGGTGATGGACTGATTACATCGTCTTCACATCTCTACTGCTCCTGTCTACTTTCTGTGCTCGACTGAAGAAGCCTACTGTGTAGGAGAAACGTTTCGGAATAAAGTTGCCTAAATGTTGCCTATGTGTCTTATCTACCAACCTGTCAGTATTGTATACCATTTGATAATCAGCAAATCAAGTCCTAAAAAACATTTGCCTCCACTCACTCCTACTAACACTCACATACACTTGCTGGATGCTTAAGCCCTTCAAACACAAAACCTTCTTTATCCCCCCTCCAACCATTCCTAGGATGACCCCTACCCTGCCTTCCTTCCATTACCGATTTATATGCTCTCCAAGTCATTCTATTTTGTTCCATCCTCTCTAAATGTCCAAACCAACTCAACAAACCCTATTCAGTACCTCCTCCTAATTCCCAAGCTGCAAAATTCTCTGCCAATATTTGCCACTTTGCCCTTAGAATGACTCCCACTACCCCCAGTTCTTCCCCGCTGCACTTTTAAACCCCCCATGCTTCATACCCATATAACAAACCCTCCCCCACAACGAAGGAACCCTTGGGATCGTTAATTCGCCTACCCGAATCTCTGCTTCAGCCATGCCACCCACTGACAGTGCACAAAACATCTCTGATCTCACCTGTCAGCACACCTCCCCGACATATTCCAAAATCTGGCAGCATGTTTTCTCGGCAAGTTCTGAGTCAGGAGTTTCTCCACCAGAGATTGGGCAGTTAATTCAGGGAACTATCACGCACCTGATACCTACTGTCCCAAAAGTACAAACAGCAGGGACACATCTGTCAGAACTGGTAGAGGACGGGGAAGAGGACGTGGAGGAGGGAATCTACGGGCCGTTACCCCCCCATTAACCCAAAATCCCAGCGGCAGAAACTGGGCAAATCTGAAAACACAGGAGGTGCAAGAAATCTAGTCCACCCCCCCAGGCACCTGGCTGTGCTCTCCGTCACCAGAAGGGGCACACCACCAACAACTGCCTGCGAGTCCGGGTGCAATTACTGCTACAAGAAAGGACATCGGAGGACCAGGTCAGAAAAAAAGGAACTTGACGACAGGACCACTTGTTTAGGCCCTCTCTCAGAAAAACCAGCAGGATCTCTGAATTGGTGAACACTCAAAATGTCACCCATCAGCTACTCTATCTCAGCCCAGCAGGGGGTTTTTGCTTATACAAGACCCGACTTACATCTCTGCAGTGCCTAGTACCCTACTCTCTCGGGGGCAGGCACCTTACATGCCCAAAACCCCACCCCCCTAAAGTGACCACATCATGGGAGCCAGTCTTCACACCTGTCGGCCAACATTAGAGGTTTCATTCCCAATGTTGGAGGCTACAAAAAGTTTTGTGAAAAACTTGAGTCCCGACATGATAGCTGTTTTTGAAAATTTTGGAGACAGGACTCCAAAAATTTTTTGCAAAATTGTGGCTACACCCTGGTGAGAAGAGCGGCAAGGGCAAGGAGGGGGTGTTGCTGTGTGCTTCTTTTAAAAGTTTTCATGCCCAGCACTTGATGTTCCACCCTACTCATCTTGAAATGACATTTCAAGCTTGCAAAAAACCTATACCTCTGTACTAGCATGTGCAATGACAATTTCGTGGCAACTGCAAACCCATCAACTTCCTAAGGGGAAAAATATTGACTCCCCTTCTGCTACAACACAACTGTAACTATCTAATTGTTGGTGACCTCAACCAACCCCTTATACGGGGGATTTTGATGACCTTCTTGCAGTATTTGGATGAGAAACTTTGTTGATTTCCCTACTACATCTCTGGCTCCCCCCTTGACCCAGTAGTGAGTGATCTGGGAGCATAGTCATTGTCAACCCCTGGGTACGTTGGATGTCTGCCACAAGGCTGTTTTTACAACACTTAAGACCCCAACAGAACGAGGTGAGGAGCCCACACACACAACCTGGTATGGAAAAGGGGGGTAACGGCCAGCCCTTCGCTCTGGCTCGCCACCCCCATTGGAATGCCTCTCCAAGGGGGGTTGACAACCAAGTAAAACCTTCCCTGGACACATCCTTAATCTCAACAAGAACTCATTCCCCACCGGCAATATGTGACAAAGCCCACAGCAGCCTTGGTTTGGTTTCGTTTGTGAAGGCGCTACTGCAAGTCAAAGCTGGCGAAGGTATAAAGACATCCTACCACCTTAACAGGAACTTGCACAGGCAAAACCTGTGGCATATGGGTGACGTTCAAAGGGGCCATTTTAAATGGGAGGTGGACACAAAAAGCATAGGTAGGGTAGGTCCAAAACCTGGTGGTCCCTGGTCAAGGACGACAGGGGGATCTGCCCGATGAACTCATTCCACCTCTAAATTGACAGGATGGGGGGCCCCCTCTACTAGTAGTAAGAGAAGGAGACCCCTTTGCTGAACACTTTGTACAAAAATGCAAGTTCCCATCCAGCAAGGGACCCCCTTGGCACCTGGGGTTACCTGGAGGGTTTTCCGGGGGTCAACGCCCCCCTGGCCCGGTCCCGACCAGGGGTCCCCATGGTCAGGCCTGATAAAATAGGCTGTTACTGTGGCCCCACCAGTCCAACGTACAAGCCCCAGCCCGGCTGATCCCGGGACTTGATTTAGGTATTGTCCCGCTCTCTTTGAAGGCAGCCAGGGGTAGCGCAAGAACTGTGTCAAAACTGTCAGTGGGACATTAGGGGAGGAGGAGATGCATTTCCTTTTAAATCGCTTGACCCAAAAAAGGCGTGGGCCCCGACAAGTTGAGCGCAAGTTGCGAGATGTGCAGACCAGCTAGCAGCACCCCTAACTGCATCTTCACATGCCCAGTACAGTGTAAAGGGGCCCCCTCTGTGGGGAAAAAAGGCAAAAGTAGTCCCCGTTTACAAAAAGAAGAGCAGGAAAATCAGCAACTCAGACCAGGGGCACTCCCGCAATCCTGCTAAGATCCTTGGGACAATAATCCCAGGACAAAAGACAGGTTTTTTTTACTACCACTCAAACTCTGTGTCGTCAATATGGCTTCAGGAAAGGCACTTGCTCTGTCTGTTGTTAAACCTCTCCACTAAGTGGCACCAGTCACTGGAGAATCCAAAGTCCCGCTGTGTGGTGCACTGGGGCTTGCGGTGCTTTCGCCCCGGGGGTGCACCAGGGCCTCTTAACAAAATTCAAGCACTGGGAATGAGGCTCTATGCTATGTTCCTCAGTGATTACCCTTTATGGTTGATCTCTAAGGTGTTCTCAATGGAAGGGAAACAGCAAGACTCCTATTGGGGGAAGTGTTCACAAGGAAGCGTGCTGGGCCATTGTCTTTGGGAAAGTTACTTCAACGACCTTCTTCACCATCCCCGAAAACACGCAAGCAGATGACTGACATGACATTCATTTTCCAAGGAAGAAAAGTCACTGCTTAAGCTACGTCAAACACCAGCTAAAAGCATTCACTTTGGGGGAAATGATGGCAAGTACATTTTCACCTGAGAAAATGCCCAAAAGATGTCATCTCTAGGGACTATGATGGGATGTGGTGCGTAGTAAGGATAATGGGAGGGGGTTGGACCTGGAGAAAAAGTTTTATTCCTTGGGTAAAATTTGCTCCAAAAAACCCTGAAGAACCCTGTTTAAATCTAGCAAACAAGGAGCCCGGAAGCTTAAGCACTTCTGTATCTCGGGATCTGTTGACAGTAGGGGTTTTTCAAGATTCTGTATGAGGCACAAGTAGCTAACCTTGGTATGCTCCACTTTCTTGGTTTGCCTGCCCCCCCTCTCATCTGCGATGCTTGACAGAGTGGAAACAGAGCAAGACGTCTCATCTCTCGCCTGGGCCCATCCTGGATGATCTGTCATTTCAGCAGAGCCTTCAAACAGGGGGGATGTTGGTGGCCTTATGTTTTGTATAAGGCCAATATTGTCAAGTACCACACTTGGGGTCCACTTTTAGGACAGCGTGAAAAAACTTTTATGCCCAAAAGGGCAGAAAACGCAACTTCCTCGGCGTACCCTTTTCCAGAACATACTCCATCGAGATCTATATACCCCGGATGACTCAGTATGGAAACACATCGTACAGATTGTGTCAACGAAAAAGCGTTGATCAAATGAAAATGCTGGCCCACAGATGGCTCCAACTTCATCCTGTTCCCTACTTGTATATCTCATAACAATAAAAATGCTTTCAAATGAGCTGATGTAGGTAACAGCTCTTAGCTTATCAATAAAGTTAGGAATCCTTAACCTGTAAATAGCTTGTCAATAAAACTAGGGATCCTTAAAACCTTGTCAAACCCTGCATAAAAAAAAAAAAAAAAAAAAAAAAAAAAGTGTTGGTACCACTATATTCTCATATATTACCTTCTTTGCCTCCATGGATAACATTCTTTGTCTCCACAGATGCCTCACTGCATCACCCACCTTTTTTCCTCCAAATCTTTTGTTCCCTTCATCTTTCATATACCCATGCACCGACAAGCCGACTCCAAAATATCTTAGCACATTCACTTCCTCCATACTCCCTCCTTCCAAAATACTGTAGCAGATTTAATACATTATACTTTCTGTTTTAACACTGATGTCATGAAGGTATGTTAACTTTTTTTGTATACCGTATTTCGCGGCATATAAGACGTGGCTTATAAGACGCAGCTTATAAGACTTGTTTTGGTTTCAATGGCTCGGCATCAGACCTAACTGGGAGAGCTACAGCCCACCCCCCCACCCCAAACTTATAGTTCCTGTCACTGACCTTCAGTTTATAGGACGCAGGGTGGCTTTTGGAGATACACGTATGAGGAAAAAACATGCATCTAATAAGCCGTGAAATACAATAATACTTCTGTAATTTTAAAGGTCACTTGAATTCTGATGTGTAATCTTCTGTCAAGACAGTTACTGAACAGTGAATAAAGACAAAACTATTGTACCTTGGCAATCCATAAGGCGAGTGCCTAACAGATCGTGATGGGAGGTATCCTGAAGCTTGCTGTTGTGCTCTCAGCTGGTTCAGCTGGATCCGCAGCTTGGTAATGTCTCCTCCTTCTGCTTGAACAGAATACAGCTCTAATTCAGTGTCAAGGATTTCCCTGTCCACTTGGACTTTACTCTTGGGTACATCTCCACCAACCACTTGTGACCTTGTGGATTCAATGGCTGCCTGAAGGGACTTGATAGTTTCCAATACAACTTTCTTCTCTTCCGGTTTCATGTTAGCTTTGTTTGCCTCTAATTTGTTTACAAGCACCTGAAATGTATAAATAAATTAGCATTAAGAAAATATTTGGATATTATGAATGACATACTGGAGAAAATATTTATAATTTTAGTTTAATTTACATACTAAGAGCTGATATCATACCTTTGCTCACCTCAAAGCACACTAGCCCTAAATAAAGCATATTAAAATTCCCTTTCCCAAAGATACCACCCACCCACAACAGTCAACCAACACCTGAGTACCTAATTACTGATAGGTGAACAGAGGGACAATAGGTACGTATAAGGATGCCCACATCTCCAGCCACCCCAGGAAAGAGCTTTGGAGCCTTCAGTTGCAGGCAACAGGCTAAAAGGTATGCTACACCCCCAAATGGCAAGATGTCCCAGCGATAAATCACTTTGACCCATATCCAACATGGGTGAGGTCATGAGCCAACTCGAGACCCAGAGAAAATAGTAAAAATGGTTCTAAGTAAATGTGCACATAAACAAGTACTTTCCTTTGGAAAGTCATGATTTCACTGCAAGTGGTCAAAGTGCCAGACAAATGGAAAATGGCATGCATTGTGCAAATATTTAAAAAAGTCAATAAGAAGAATACCCAAACCTACAGGCCTGTCTCTCTGGTATGTGTTGTTGTAGAAAAAGCCAGTAACCCTTGCAGGGTCCCCAGACCCTCTCCGAGACTTGTTCTCAGGGTCCCCAAATTTAAAAAAAAAAAAAAAAATTTCTTATGAAAAGATAGAGAATCTTTTCCCGATCATAATGACACCAAAAGTATGAAATCTGATGGAAAACTTATGGAATTATGCTCTTGCGAAGTTAGCAATCTCGATGATGTTTACGCATCGGTGATTTTGTCCACTTTGAGCCCTATTTTCGGCTAATTTCAGTGTACTAGTCGACAAAGATCATAACTATTTCGCTAGAACTCCATTTTTTCTATTGAATGAGTACAAGAAACCACCTATTTACCAATTTCAACTATCCAATAAAGTGGTCAGAATGTAGCAATTTTGCCAATTTCACACAAATTTCAAAAGATGCCAATTTCCAAATAGGGTCCAGAATAAACAAGAAAGACATTCCTGGCACTAAAATAACAAGTTCTCTGTTCGTTAGTCACATCCCCAGGCCCCTCTTATATTTCTTTGGCTTTCCACTTAGAATTTTTATTCTTACAAAAAATAGAAGATTTACTGTTATGCAGACTACTGCATTAGTGTAGAAATGGTATAAATAATATCAGTGCACTTGTGAAAGAATATTAGACTCATCAATTGACGTGTATTGGACGCTTGGCATGATTTGTTAACTTTTGAACTTTGGTAAAAATCGAACATTTCTGCTACTTTGAGCTCAATTTCAAAGTACTTTTCATTGTAAAACCAGTCAAAATCATCTCAATTTCTGTAATATGTCTTCCATTCTATAAAATGAGACCAGGAAAACTAGAATACAACAATAAATACCATACGAAAATACAGTGCAAAGTTGCTGTTTTAATCCAAAAACACGGTCAAAGTTTTTTTTTTTCTCATTGCGCACTGTGTGCTGCAGGATATTTTTTATACTGCGCACACTGACCACATAGACCCATTCTTTCATATGTAGGCCTACCAGCTTTCTCTCGCTAGATTTGAGAGCACTAGAATTTAGGCGTACTAATACGTCAAAAACCCTGGGGCATAAGCCGTACTAGTATGGCCGAAACCCTGAAAGGGTTAAAGAAAGATGGATAAAACACTGAAAGCAAATAAATGCATACTAAATAAACTGTCAACTTTTGAATAAATTCCTGTATAGTGTGTCAATACAGGACTAATGAATTACACTACAAGTCCCAGAAAACACTCAAGAAATGGATATACAGTGGACCCCCGGTTAACGATATTTCTTCACTCCAGAAGTATGTTCAGGTGCCAGTACTGACCGAATTTGTTCCCATAAGAAATATTGTGAAGTAGATTAGTCCATTTCAGACCCCCAAACATACACGTACAAACGCACTTACATAAATACACTTACATAATTGGTCACATTCGGAGGTAATCGTTATGCGGGGGTCCACTGTACAGAGTTCTGTAATTTCCCTTTCTTTATGACTCAGATAGAGACCAGAGAAAAGCTTGTTCATTAAGTGAAAAACATGAGAATCACATTTTTTCCAACAAAAGCTCAGGGTATAACTTCAGATACAGCGAACCCTCAGTTAATGATGCTATCAGATAGCGATAAAATCGGATACCAATGCGTTTTTGCGTCAAAATATTGGCTCGGCTAATGATGAAAAACTCAGTTAAGGATATTCGTCCCGAACGTGTCCGCGCAGCCTGAGCCCATGTACAAGGAGGTGTGCCATTGTTTACAAGCCATTGAGGACGATTCCACGCATACATGCGATATATTTTGTATTATTTCATTTTTTTAGTGCTTGTAACTGCTAAATAAGCCACCATGGGCCCAAAGAAAGTTACTAGTGCCAGCCCTGTGATAAAGAAGGAAAGAAACACAATAAAATTCAAGAAAAAACTCATAGCTACACTCCCTGTATGCCTGCTACACTCCTTATTCCCATGTCTTTTACATGTTCCTTTCATTCTATTTGGAGTTTTGTATATAGTGTTTCTTTTGAGTTCTTCATTCTTTCCATACCTAAGCAGCTGGAACCTATCACCACTGAATGTCATGTTGTTCTCCACTGCCCCCTGGTAAACCCTGCTTATGCCTTCCTGTAATTTTACAGTGTCCTCTACCGTAGCGACTTTCATGCTTATTTTAGTGTCATCTGCAAATAATATACAAAAGTGTGATGGGCGTTTTGATCTATGTCTGCTATAAGGATGAGAAACAGCAGAGGTGCCAGGACAGTGCCTTGGGGCACTGAGCCTCTGACCTCATTAATGTTGGATCTTGCTCTGCTTACTACTACTTCTGTTGTGTGTGTTAGGAACCCGAAAATCCATCTGCCTACCTTCCCTGTAATGCCCATGGCCCTCATTTTGTGCACTATCACTCCATGATCGCATTTGTCAAATGCCTTTGCAAAATTTGTGTAAATCACATCTGCGTTTTGGTTTTCTTCCATTGCCTCTGTAATTCTGTCATAATGATTCAGCAGCTGTGACAGGCATGATCATCCTGCTCTAAAACCATGCTGGTTCGGGTTATGCTGGTCAATGAAATTTGTAATCTGCCGTCTCATCACTCTTCTGAAGATTTTTATGTGAGAAGTTAGGGCTACTGGTCTGTAATTTTTAGCTAGTGCTCTACTACCTTCCTTATGCAAAGGAGCTATGCCTGCACTCTATATGGCCTCCAGTATTTCAACTAGATCTAAGCTCTTTCTCCAAAGAATACTGAGGGCTCGTACTAGTGGTACTCTGCACTTCTTTATAAATAGAGCATTCCATGAATCTGGTTCAGGTGCTGAGTGAGTGGGCATGTTGTCTATTTCTTTTTCGAAATCTATAGAACTTGTACTAATGTCCGTTAGTTGGTCTGCGCGGCCTTCTGCTGGAGTGAAAAATATTTCTGCATTTTCTACCTTGCTGTCATTTAGTGGGTTGCTGAACACCGACTCATACTATTCTTTTAGGATATCACTAATTTCCTGTTCATCGTCAGTATACAAATCTCCTCTCAATAATGGTCCAATTCTACAAGTAGTTCTTAGTTTGGATTTTGCATAGGAATAAAAATATTTTGGGTTTCTTGCAATATCCTGTATGGCCCTTTGTTCCTTTTATACTTCTTCTGTTAGGTATGACATCCTGAGTTTTTGCTCTAATTCAGTGAACTCTCGGCTAAGGCTATCTTTCCTCTGTTGCAACATATTTGTGTTTTTAATTAAGCAATTCAGGAACCCGTTATCTTCTTCTGTAAAATCTCCTACACTTTCTTATATCTGATCCTCTGATTTTCCTCAATGGTACACGCTTCATACATACTTTATATGCTTCTGTATTCAGCTTCTCTAGGCACTGGTAGGGATTTAGGGTGCTCAGGTCTGATTGCCAGGATATGTCTGATAATTTTTGGTTTATTTTTTCCCAGTCAATTCTATGGTTGTTAAAATTAAACTTACTGAACATTCCATCTCTAACATTAGTGGTGCAGTTCCCTAACTCTGAGTTAATACTCATTTGAACTTCTATGATGTTGTGATCAGAATATATTGTTTTTGTAACTGTTATGTCTCTGATTAGCTCCTCGTTGTTTGTAAATACCAAATCCAGGGTATTTTCAATTCTAGTAGGATCAATTAATTGTCTGTGGATCATTTACCAATACAAATTTTATTCTATAATTATATCTTGACTTAATCAAGTTCTTCCATGAGAAAAACACTGTCCCAATAAAAACGTGTTCTGTACAGTTCAATGCCTATACTCTAAAGGAAAAGTTTGGGATGTTTGAAGTTTAGAGGGACATCTAAACAGTCATATCTGCATGCCTCTGGCAAGACAGTGATAGTGTAAATGATGGTGAAACTCTTTTTTTTTTGGGTCACCCTGCCTCGGTGGGAGATGGCCATCGTGTTAAAAAAAAAAAAACTAAATGCCTGTATATTCCCAACTTTCTTCACGTTCCTTCTGACTCACTCCCACACCCTTACAAATCATGGGCAGTATCACAGGTCAGGGGAGTATATATTTCAGATGCACAGAATACACAATACATCTAGACATTATTATAAAGTTATACAGCCTCTCCTCACTTAACGATAGAGTTCTGTTCCTAAGATCATGTAGGTAAACGAATTCGTCACTAAACAAGGAGCATACTATAATGGTAGTGGGTTTATGTCAACCATCTTTGATATTGTTTTAATGTCACCTTTGCACCATTTATAACATTTCAGGTATATTTTTAAATGTTTATACAGTAGTGCACTGTATATTGTAATAAACAGAATAGAGGAAATCAGCTCTAATACACATTATTTAGGTATGTATACTGCTCAGAGAACCCATCGTAAGTCAGAGTTGTCGGTAAACAAGTACGTCGCTAAGTGAGGAGAGGCTGTTCTACTATATATGTATAGCAGTACTACTTGCATAAAAGTTCTAGATAAATATCATAAAGCTCTAGACAATAAAAACTTGACCTCATGTTTGATGACTATGTACAATATAAATGCTGAGAATATTACAGAGTTAAAACTTATTTACTATAAATTTCCAACAGTATTAGATTACAAAGTGGTTCTTTTAACAGACACATCTATGTATTTCTTCTCTGTTATAATCTTTACAGTGTACATTGTAGTGCCAAATATAAACTTATAAAAGCAACACATTTGAAGGAGCTGGGAAGATATTAGAGCTTCCACAAAAAGCTTCAAGTACTGATCTTCATCAAGAAAACTCCCTTAATCTTCCCAAGTAGATCAAACATTTGGTTAGTAAATAATAGCAGCATCACACTACTTCCCACAAACCACAAAGAAGACAATCTTTGTACCTTGAGTTGTTGCATTTGCTTCTCTAACAAGTGTCTCTTGCGTTGCTCAACCTCGGATCGCAGTTTCAATGCATCGGCTTTCTGCTTTTCCACTTTATGCTTGGCTGCAACCTGTGAACAAAAGTGATGAATAATAACCTGGGAAAGTGATGACAGAAACCAAATGTCTCTAAGCAACACTTATGGACACCAGCCTCTTACTATTATATTTAGGAAGAAGCATTTAACCTGTAGGGGTCATACAGCACCTGGGAAATGAGAGGTAATGAGACTTTATTCAGAAGGGGCAGGTAGCTCTAATTCCATGGATCAAGAGCCTTTAATTACATCAAGGCACCCCCTTGAATGGAGCATCTTTGGAATGAGGTTGGAAATAACTACGGCATCAAAAAAGCAAGGCCAGTACCCAGAGTCAGATTAAGGTCTGTCTAGGTCTTAGTGTTGTTGTCCCTAACATAAATTCTAGTAGGTCCCTAGGTATACTTATTGTTGTAGTAACTAATGTAGTTCGAAAAGATCCCTAACATAATTCTAGTAGGTCCCTAGATATAATCACTGTTGTAGTCCCTAAGTAGACTCATTGAAGACTCCTAACATATATCTTGTACTACCAATGTTTAACCATTATTACAATTCCTAGCACATCTTTAACTCAACATACATCTCCTGCCAAGGAAGGGTGACCAAAAGAAGAAAAGTAATTCACCAGCATTCCCTGAACTGCCATCTTTCAAAAAGTGTGCTGACATCACAAATTAGATTACCTTCCTTCAGAATGCAGACACTGCCCTTCCCACCTCCAGGAGCCAAGTCCAGCAAACAGGTTTCCCTGAATCCCTTCACACCCCAACAGCACATTCATTAAAAAAAAAAAAAAAAAAAAATATCCATGCACTCTAACAGTCACACAAGCCTGCTGAATGCTCAAGCCACTAAAACTCAAAGCCTCTTGCACCCTTCCCTCCAACCATTCCTTGGACAAACCCTCCCCCTCTTATTTTCCAAGACAGATTAATATACCCTCGTCATTAACCTATCCCTTACCATCCTCTTACATGCCCACACTGCCTCAACTACCCCCTCATCACCTTTTTAATGTCTAAGGTCTGAATTCTCTGCACAATATTCACTTCACACATTGGTCTCAAACATATCTCCACTTCCTCTAACTAGCCTTTTCACTGCAGTATTTAAAACCAATGTTTCACACCCATATAACTTTTTGTGTGTTTCAACAGACACTTCAATACACCACCCAACTTCTTCCCCTTGTTTATTCTATGGTTCACCTTATTTTTCGACGACCATGGTTCACCTTATTTTTCGACGACTCGTCTGATGACATGTCTGCTCCCATATTCCTAAGCACATTCATGTCTTCCATACTCCCTCCATCCAATCTTATATTCAATCTATCACTGTCTAGACTTTTTGTTACCCTCATCACCTTGCTCTTTTTTGTGTTCATATTTAATTTCCTTCCTTTACATACTTTCCCAAACTGCACTAACCATTGTAATTTTTATTCAAAATCCCTTCAAAAAACAGCCATCAGGAAAGAGCAAATGGGATAACTTCCACTTTGTATCAGATCCAACATCCTTCAATCCCAGACACCTTAGTGTTTACTTCTTTCACAACTCACTTATAAATGTCAAACAACCATGGTGCCATCACATAACCGTGTCTTAGACCTACTTTCACTTTAGAATAGTCCCCCCCCTCTCCTACATGCCCAAACCTTAGCCTCACTCTCTGCATAAAAACTTAACTGCTTTTAGTAACCTATCACTCCATACATTTGCAAACAGAGTGTATCAAGTTACTACCACTCACAATATAAGGAGTGAATCATATTATTTGTAATGCACTTAACTTACAACACAATGAGTGTATTAAGTAATTATCTACAATACATTTCTATTCACAACACAAACCAAACACATCCTTAGAGAATTTCTCAGAATATAGAAGATTTTCTACCAGAAAATGTGAATATTAATCTCAAATATTCACTAAATTCATCAACCAACATTGAGAAAATACAAATACTCAGTTATATCATGCATAGAAGTGAATCTGAAACAACTAATTCTACCAATGGGTAAAGTTATGCCACTATCTGTGTGCTCAAGTGATTCATCATTGTAGTTGTGGCTCACCAGACCACTAGAACAATTGGGGACATCCCCAGACCTACCAGCTGCAGCAGCAACAAAAATATCAGAATAAGCAGCTGTACTATCCTGCAAAATTATGTACTGAACAATATGTGGAAGAAACATCACAACACAGTCAGCTTATGTTGGCACACAAACCCTCATCATATGAATAATTATCACAACATTGTAAAAATGACTTAAAAGTCATGATTTATGCAGAAGAAAATGAAAAGATGAGACTGACATCCAGAGTACTGAACCACAATAAAACCATATGGTATTCAAATCACTCCACTACTTATAAAAGTACTCCCAAGTGAAGCTGAGCTTCATAACATGATGTGCCAACTGTCAACCATACCTTCACCTCCCTAGCTTCACAATCCCACTCTGCCACATTATCATTTATCTTTGTTGTGTATAAATTTGGGGTAGAAGGTAGGAGGAATAAGGGTCCTATGAGGAACAGCTGGAGGGAGGGGGAGGTAAAAGAGGCTTTGAGTTTTAGGGGCTTGAGCATCCAGCAGACTTGAGTGAGCATGTTGAATAAGAGTGAATGGGGGCAAGAGGCTTTCAATGGCTGCACTATTGAAGTAAGAGCAAGGTATCTTTTATGAAGGGATTCAGGGAAATCAATTATCCAGACTTGAGTCCTAGAGGTGGGAAGGGCAGTGTCTGCACTCTGAAGGAGGGGCGAGGACAGTGCAGTCAGAAGGTAATCCGACTGTGATGTCATCACACCTCTGGAAAGATGGTAATTGAATGAGTGATGGTGAAGGCATTTTCTGCTTTGCATCACCCAGCCTTGGTAACAGACCATTATGGAGTTTAAAAAAATTATAATGAAACTTTTAATAAACATGATAAAGCTTGTGCACAGCCAGTGTCTGCAATAAAGGCTTGATCTTATAAGAACGAAGGAACACTGCAGAAGGCCTACTGGCCCATGCGAGGCAGGTCCAAGTCTCCTACCAGCTTAAGCCAATGCACCCAACCTAGTCAGGTCAGGTCACATTGACTTAAGGGAGGAACACGGCAACCGACCTGGTAGCACAAGCTATCAGGTCCAACTCACACCCACCCACATCCACTCATGTATTTATCCAACCTATTTTTAAAACTACACAACGTTCTGGCCTCTATAACTGTACTCGGGAGTTTGTTCCACTCATCCACAACTCTATTACCAAACCAGTACTTTCCTATATCTTTCCTGAATCTGAATTTTTCCAACTTAAAACCATTGCTGCGAGTCCTGTCTAGGCTAGATATTTTCAGCACACTATTTACATCCCCTTTATTTATTCCTGTCTTCCATTTATACACCTCAATCATATCCCCCCTAATTCTATGTCTTTCTAGAGAGTGCAGATTCAGGGCCCTTAGTCTATCCTCATAGGGAAGGTTTCTGATACATGAGATCAACTTTGTCATCCTCCTTTGTACATTTTCCAGAGAATTTATATCCATTCTGTAATACGGTGACCAAAACTGTGCAGCATAATCTAAATGAGGCCTAACCAAGGATGTATAGAGTTGAAGAACAACCTGAGGACTCCTATTATTTATGCTTCTTGGTATGAAGCCAAGGATTCCATTAGCTTTATTGCGAACACTTATGCACTGTTGTCTTGGTTTCAGATTACTGCTAACCAGAACTCCTAAATCTTTTTCACAATCCGTAATATTAAGATCTACATTTTAGTTTATATGTGGCATGGTTATTGTCCTGTCCAACATTTAGAACTTTGCATTTGTCTATATTAAACTGCATCTGCCACTTCTCCGACCACTGCATCAGTCTATTCAAATCTTCCTGGAGTGCTCGAATGTCTTCGTCAGAATGAATTCGATGGCCTATTTTGGTGTCATCGGCAAACTTGCCGATGTCGCTCTTTATGCCCTCATCTATGTCGTTTATGTAGATTGTGAACAGCAGGGGGCCCAACACTGACCCCTGTGGAACACCGCTCGTGATGCTTCCCCACTCTGATTTCTCCCCATTTATGCAAACTCTCTGCTGCCTATTTGTCAACCATGCCTCTATCCAGGAAAAAATTTCTCCTCCTATTCCATGTGCCTTAATTTTCCTCAATAGTCTCTGATGTGGGACCCTGTCAAAAGCCTACTGAAGTCCATATACACAATATCATATTCATTACCATGATCTACCTCCTCAAATACCTTAGTGAAAAAAGTTAATAAATTCGTAAGGCAGGAACGCCCCTTTGCAAAACCATGCTGAGATTCGTTGATTAATTTAATGCTTTTCAAGTGGCTACAAACTGCCTCGGCAATTATTGATTCCATAAATTTTCCCACTAATGGAGGTTAGGCTTACTGGTCTAATAGTTTCGAAGCTAAGGACCTGTCACCTGTTTTGAAAATAGGTATCACATTTGCCATTTCCACTTATCTGGCACCATGCCAGTTTGTAGTGATATGTTTGAAAAGATTAGCCAAAGGTGTGCTAAGCTCCCTCTTTACATTCCTTTAGAACCCTTGCATACAGTTCATCAGGGCCTGGGGATTTGTTAGGTTTTAATTTATCTATTTGCCTAAGGACCATGTCACTTGTGACCTAATCGTGCACAGTTTATTATCGTCCTGTTCTACATAATTTTCATTACTGAATATCGCTGGTATCCTCATGTGTAAAAACTGAGAGGAAGTATGTGTTAAAAATTCTACACATTTCCTTATCACTGTCAGTGAGCTGACCCAGGAACTTTTGAGTGGCCTATCTTGTCCCTGATCTTACTTCTGTATACCTGAAAGAATCCTTTTGGTTTAGTCTTCGATTCTCTTGCAACTTAACCTCATAATCTCTTTTTGCTTTCTAATTCCCTTTTTTATTTCTCTCTTTTAATTGAATATATCGATTTCTTAATTGCCCCTCTCCTCTTTGATTGCTTATATATGCCTCTCTTTTGACCAATCAGATATTTTAATCTATTGTTCATCCATTTAGGATCATTTTTGTTTGATCTGATTTCCCTATTTGGAACATAATTTGACTGAGCAGCTAGAACTATGCCCTGGAAAGCATCATATCGGCAACCATCACCACCTACCTGACCCTTAGTCAGGTCATTCCAGTTCAGCCACCTAAGTAATTTTCAGTCCTATGAAATCAGCCAAGCGAAAGTCAGGGACAGAGACTTGATTGCCATTATTAGGGGAATCCATGATATATTAAAACTGAGTGATTTGTGATCACTTTCCCCAAGCTCATCATTAACCTCAAGATATAATTAGTGTTTCCCTACTGGCAAGAACCAAGTCAAGGAGATTATTTCCTCTAGTTGGCTCTGTCACAAACTGTTTTAAAAAACAATCCTGGATCGTATCAAGAAAGTCACCTGACTCTAAATTTCCTGTCAAATTGCTCCAGTCAATCTGTCTATAGTTGAAATCTCCCATTAGCACAACATTTTCGTATGTAGATGCCTTACGAATTTTGTCCCATATAAGTTTACTGCACTCCCTTTCAAGATTTGGGGCCCTGTAAATCACACCCAAAATTAGTTTTTCTCGACCCTCGAGAAGCTGTAACCAAACAGATTCAGTGGCTGACGCTTCTACTTTTATATCTTGTCTAACACAACAATTTAAATTGTCTCTGACATACATCGCTACTCCACCACCCTTCCTGTTGACCCTGTCAGTGTGGAATAATTTATAGCCTTGTATGTGACATTCAGAGGGCATCTCTCTATCTTTCAGATTGAGCCAGGTCTCTGTTATAGCAATAATATCTATGTTTTCCTGCACTTGCAATATAATCTTAGCTCATCTATCTTATTTCTTACACTCCTGCTATTAGTATAGCAAACCTTAAGGGAGCTAGTCCCTTGCTGTCCTCTGCTGTCCCCCTTTGTTTGCTGACCTGATCTATTGTCTTTATTTATAACTTCAGCTGAATGCCTTTTATACATTTACTGATTCCAACCCTAGTGTTGCAACCTGCTTGTTTCCCACACACACCCATACCCTCTATCTTCTATCAGTTTAAAATCATAGGCATTTCACCAATGTCCTTCTCAATTGAGTTTGCAAGTGCTACCACCCCAGCCCCAGAGAGATGTACCCCATCCCTTGCATACATATCATGTTTTGCCATAAAAGTTGTTCCAGTTGTCAATGAATGGGATTGCAAGTTCCTTGCAGTATCTGTCTAGCCAGCAATTTACACCAATTGCCCTAGACAACCATTCATTTCCTACTCCCCTTCTAGGCAAGATGCTACATATGATTGGGACCCCTTCCTTAGACTTAAATGAAATCTGTAGCTGACCTGTACTTA